AAAGGAAGGAAGGAAGGAAGGAAGGAAGGAAGGAAGGAAGGAAGGAAGACAATGAATAAAGGAATAGTGAAAATAAACTCGTAGGAAATCAAATACAGTAATTAATTATACATGAGATCCCATTATCAGCAGTAAAAGGAGAAAACAATCTTCAGAAAATACAAAAAACTGGATGGAAAAAAGACTTACTCTTTCACATCTTTAAGTTGTTCAATATCCTGTACTTTGACATAATCTGGGTCATGGGCCAAAAGGTGAATTGTATATGGAACAACATACTCTGGTAGAAGAGATAATAATTTTTCTGTAAAAGAAACAAGGAAAGAAAGGGGGGAGAAAGAAAAGAAAAAAAAATCCAGGTTAGAAAATCAAATCTTACATGTTCTTTCATACTATATGTCCTATATCCCAACAGTTCACCACAATACAGCTAGAAAAAAACACTGAAATATTGTAATGAGAAACATGACAGATTAAACAGTTCATTCATTCATGACACTTAATGTTGGAACGCTTATTAACAGGCTAGAAAGATAAATATTTCCAGTTTCAGATACATCAGGAAAAAATGACTCATATAAACTATATTTAAGAAAGAGACGTAAGACCCATTTTTCTTCTGAGGGAAGGAAAAACTTCTAGTAAATCTTTCAAAGCCACTATGACATAAAAATAAAGAGTACTGGCTGATTCAATTTGTAACAGGAGAACAACTATGACAAAGTGGAAATACGGAATAGAGTTTCTAAGATGTTTTAAGTAAAGAACTTTTTATCTAAATTCAAGTATTTTTATATGTTGACTGTCAGTAAGTTCTGCCACAGATGTCAGAAAAGCAATTCTAAGTAGCTTTAATAGAGTATACGAAGACTAGAATTCATATTCTGAGTAATTCCATTCACACTTCTTATATTCAAATTGAAAATTTAAATCTGATATTCAACCTGGAATATCTTTTGTGTTTATAAAGCATCACATTTTATTTCTATTTCTGAACCTAAAGAGAATAGTTTCTATGCAATACTAATTCAAAGACCAAGTGCAGAAGAAAAGTAACGAGGTTTCAAATTCAGTAAAATTCAAATTGAATTACATCAAACATTTGTGTGTTTACTATGTGCTACTTGTGAGAATCTAAAAATATAAAGATGGAAAGAATATAATAAACAAAAATATGAAGACGAGTAAGACCAGGTAACAAACTCATACCAAAGCATAAGCAGAGACAAAAGTTATCTTCAACGCCCAAAGTGCCCCAAACAAGAATAGCTGATTTCTACTGAGTTCTTCAGACTAGGCTTTACATACCTAAATTTTCAATCCTTACAAGAATTAGGAAGTATAATTATACCAATTTTATGAATAAACAAACTAAGGCATGGGTTACATAACTTGCCCAAAATACAGCCAGTAAATTACAGAGCTGGGTTAATCCTCACTTTCCAAGGTGAGGAAGGAAGGAAAAAAAGAGGGTCACAGTGATACACTAACAACAAACATATTTTAAATAACTCACTAAGTGTAAACCACATTTCCTGGTTTCATTCATTCGTTTATCTGGAAGGGGGAGGCAATTTCCAGACAGAGTTTTACAACAGAGGCAAAACAAAAGCTGCACAAATTTCAAGTAATCCGAAGTACATGGAACACAGAGTTCGCAGGAGGAAGTGACAGTGAAGCGACTTAAAGAAAACTACAGGCTAATCCTGTCGGGCTGAGCGGATGAAAGCAAGAGCACCTGATACTGCGAGCTACCGAAGGAAACAACGAAGACGAAAGACTTACCCTTTTTCAACTGCAAGACAGTTTAGACAACCTACATAAATGTACAAATTGTACTGTTCTGTTACAAGTCCTCCAATGTCATAACAACTTCTTCGTTGGCCATTTTGTCATTTACACAAAAATATAAGCTGAGATTTAAATACCCGTGCATTTCTACTTGTAAAATCATCTTTATGGTAGATGGAAACTAGTTATTGAAAAATGTCGATAACTTATTGAATAGATGCCAATTAAAATACAGTAACAGTAATATTCTATATCCTATAAAACTGAAATTGGCAGGCTCGAGAAGTACACTTTCCTGGGTGCTTACCACTAACAGCTGCATGTTGCTTCAGATACTCCCGCCTTACGTTTATATTTTTTACCAGACACTGTCTAGCGTGAGCTCTTCTCTCCTTTACGGGATCTTTTGCACAAAGTGCACAGATTGCCATATACTCAAGTGGCAGTCGTAATCGGGAAAGGCCTTTGTGAAGTTTTTGAGCAAATACTTGTCTTACTTGGTAACATTCATCCTGTAAAGATATAATTATTCCACGTATTACCGACACGGCAGCATGGAGTAACGACTACAAAACAACTATCAAATGTGCTATTTCAAGTAGACAGGGAGGTAAACAGCAGCAAGTGTATCTATAATCATGGCTTCATTGTTCATAAGGCACATGTTGTGACAAGTTAATTTCAAAGCTACAGTATACACTTGGACCCTAATAACTATCAGTTAGTTGCATGTACCAGGAAACACTGAATGTACTCCTGAAACAGATAAAACTAGTAAATATAAATCCACCCAAAATTAGATATTTTTAAAAAATAAAGCATAGGGGTTAGGGATGTAGTTCAGTGCAGATGTGCTCACCTAGCATGTACAAGGCCCTGGGCTTGATCCACAGCACCACAAAATAAAAACATTAACAATTTCAAAAATAAAGTGTAAACATTATCTTATACATAGCTTTTCCATTTAGTGTTAAGATAAAACTCTAACCAATTTACACATTTCGGTTCTATCATTTAAAAATCTATTCAGATTAAAATGCACACTTCAAAGATGCCTAATCAGGGCTGGGTATATGGCTCAGCGGCACAGCACCTGCCGAGCAAGCACAAAGTCATGAATTTGATTCCCGGTACCAGAAAAAAAAATTTTTTTTAAAAAGATGCCTCATCAATTTCAGAAACACCAAATTATTTTCAGTTGCACAAATGAATCGAACTGTTTATTAACCATACACCTGCTTACCTCACACAGCTCCCTCCTCCTGAACTATGCATCCCCAATCTGCTAGCTAATTCCTCATCCTTTTATGTTTGCCAGAAAGCAGTGTATTGCCTTAGACACGGACGTCTTGCCTATATCCTGTACCCTCTTCTCACTCTGCACTCTGTGCATATCTCCAGCACAGCTTTCAGTACGTAACATTAAAGTGATTTACCTGCCTTATCTATCTGTGCCAGTTCTGTAAAAGTAAGAACTATACCTTTACTCATCTTTGTATCTCTAAGCCTAACACACTAAGTGGTATACAGAAGCAAAGAATTTTTCTAAAGTACAGGGAAAAGCGCTCAAACTCTTCTATACGACATATGAACCTCTTCATGATGCTATCTTGCTATCAATAAATACAAGATGTGGCATGTTTCCTACTACTGCTACTTTAGGTACAGTATTTCTTCCATCTAGAATGATCATTTAGTTTTTCTTCAAAACTTCACCCATAACATCTTGACCTTATCTTTTTATGTCCTTATTTTGTGTCTCTTCTTTAATTTAAATTTCAGTATGTTACAATATGACTGGTTTTCTAAAAGTAGCCTAGCTTTTGTCCACCTATCCTCACAACTCAACAAAATAAAGTTAATTCACTCCTTCCTCAGCATTAATGTTATTAGGGCAGACAGAAGTCTTCATTTCATATATATTTATGTGCATATACATGTCTTTATGTGTATGTAAAGTATATGCATATATATTTATTTTGCTATTTTATAAATATATTTATTTTACATATGTAAAATGTATACATTATTTTGTATTATATATAAAATGAATATAATTATCCCTTATATTTTGTATATTAATATAATAGATACATCATTATTTGTTAAAAATATATAATAAAATTATTATGAAATATTTATCATGAAAATCCCCAATTAAAAACTGCATGGGTAAGGCAGATAGCAAGTTTAAACCCAGACTGGACAGTCTAGCTAGACTTTGGAAAGGAAAGGAAACAGAAGGGAAGGGACTTGAAGTAGGGTGAGGGGAAGACATGACAGACCTCAGTGTGAAAGCCTTGGGTTCAATTTTCAGTACTGAGGAAGGATGGAAGGGAGGGGGAGGGGAAAAGAGAAGAAGCAAAAAGAAAAATCAACAAAAGAAAAATAAATTAGCTCACTGCAAAGGCTTTAGGCTCAATACCCAGTAACAGCATGGGGATGGGGGGACTGCACCAATGAAAGTCAACATATAAATAAATACCATTCACTAGCCTAACCAAGACAGTATTTTTGTCCTCCTTTCACTAATCATTTGGGATTCAAGAATGCAGTGCAATTAGTATCAAAGTCAATCCAAATCACTGCAGAAGTAGTAGTTTTCAAACAGTCATTAAAGTGATGGAGGATTGTCAAATCATAGATAAGGCAACATAAACAACTCACAACTAAAAAACTGATAAGAATGGTGACACAGGTACTTTAAGAAAATCATCTCAATAAAGAATAAAAAGAGGTGCTACTGGGAATTAAGGAAGTCCCCCCCAACCTTTTTTTTTTTTTTTTTTGCAAAGATGATTACAATATTCTTTTGACTGTGTTATAAAAGCAAACATGAGGTAAAGAATAGAATAACACAATTTTATAAGGAAAAACCGTGTTCTCCAGAAAGCAATATACGATACTTTTATAGTGACAGTTATAACAAATAATTGGTTAAATGGAAGAGGAAAAAATAAGAAAAGCTTAGTGTGGTGGCCTATGCTTATAATCCCAGCACTCAGGAGGTGGAGGCAGAAGGATCAGAAATTCAAGGCCAGCCAGGGCTACTATAAGGACTACAAAGTGTCTAATACATTGCTACAATATTTTTCCTCCAAGATAAAGCTTCCTTCAAACCTCATTTTCATTACTATGAAATTAATTTTAGCGAACATTATAAAGAAATTCACCTTTACAGGCCTTTTTAAGTCCGAATTATCTGCACACCTACCTTTACCACCTTACAAATGGTGTAACTCAACATTTGTCCACATTTTCTATTCTCCTAAGAAGCTGTTAGAATGTTGAGGATTGTGGCCATGAGTCATTCATCTCTGTACCTCCAGAAACTAGAATAATACACAGGATATGCTAGTACAGAGTAAGTTTTTCATGAACTACATAACAAATTTGAAAATATCTGATCAATTATTAAGCCAAGATTCATATTATTGAGTCTCTATTCTTTTCTATCTATTGTTTGTTCAAATATATGGCAAGGGTCCCCCAGATACAATACTACTTTCAAGAGCCTCAACTCAAGTAAGAACAAGAAACCACATGTATATAAACAGCTAAAGCATAAAGCTAAGTTCTGTATGTATCAGAAGACTGAGATAAGGGCTGGGGATTTAGCTCAGCGGCAAAAGCGCCTGCCTGGCAAGCGCAAGGTCATGAGTTCGGTTCCCGGTACCGGAGAAAAACCGAAAAAAAAAAAAAAGAAGACTGAGATAGTATCTAGAGAGAATTAAAAGGAGAAACAGACTACTTAGAGCCAAACAAATCACAGAAGTTTTGTGGAGAGGGTTGTGCTTGCCTCTGCATGTGCAGAAAGGGTTACATATAGATATGTGGAAATTGGAGGAAGACACAAAAATTAGAGGCAGCAAAATAATAGGCACATAAAAGATAGAGATATTTGTCCAGCTTCCCTGAAATAAAGGTGGTAAAGGTAGTGTGCTAAACAATGATGCTGTACTAAAACTGAGTGGAAATATGGGTCCAAACAACAGATGATGAAGAGCCAGGATATAATATATGTGCATTTTTTCTTTGTACAAATAGAGGCCCCTAATAAATGCTGAGCAGAGTAAAAAGATCAGAATCGTAACTGAGGAAATTTATCCAACAGAGAAAGTCTCACACTATTAGTGTTATTTAACGATGGTTAGGGCTAACAGAATGATAAGATATGAAAGACCCAAAGACTGTAACAGATATAAGGTAGAATTATTTGAATCTTTCAACAAGGTAGAAGGTAAAGCAAAGAGTCAAACATAAACTATGCTTTTAAATCTATGAAATACCATCCAGGTTTAACACTGAGAAATGGAAGGAAAGAACACATTTGATAAATATGGATTCAGTCTTGTATTTACAGAACATCAAAGTCTGAAATTTTTATTTAGCATGTGAAACATAACCAGAGACTTGGGGGCAGGTGTTGCTGGTATCATAATCAAGTACAGAGAAGAGGGTCAAAGGAAGAATGTGTAACTGGAGAAACTGAACATGGACAGATCCTCAAAGAACATACAGATTTAAAGAAAATGAGAAAAGGCCAGGTAAGACAAAAATCAAGAGACAGACACCAAAGAAGAGAATTCAAGAATAATGGAGCGATGAGCTATGTGAAATGATGTAGAAAGAACAATGAAAATTAAGATCACTGGATTTGAGGACTTCAGTAGGATGCTTACTGGAAAACTATGAAGGAAAATGCCAAAATATGAATAATAAGGAAGGGGTGAAGCAGGAGAAAAAAGATACAGATTATTATATATTGAGGTTTGGAGTTTAAAATAGAAGACACAAGCCTGTAGCTTAAATATCAATATCTATCATACCTCCTAATTTTTATTCACTCTTTCAAGTTCTTACACTAGTGAGACAATACGCTGCTTGCACATGCAGGTCTCATTTATTTCACTTTTGAGTATGGTCTCTAGTTGTGGCCATTTACCTATAAATGCCTCAAGTTTATCTTTCTTTATAGCTGAGTAATATTCCATTATATAAAAATGCCACAATTTTTTTATCCAATCCTCAATGGACGGACATTTGAGTGCTTCTATGATTTAGCAACTACAAATTGTGCTGCTATGAACATGGGTGCACATATATCGCTGTGATATGATGTTTTCAGATCTTCTGGGAAAATACCCAGAAGGGGAACAGCTGGGTTGAATGCGACCTCTAGACCTAGTTTGCTGAGGAATCTCCAACTTGCTTTCCACAGTATGACAGACATTGCGAAACGAAAGGATACTGCTCAAAAGTAAAGAGCAACTGGGACGAGGGAAAAGAGAAAAGAAAGAAGGGGAAAACCATGTATATATGTATATACAGGATAGTTAACATAGTTGACTACTGACTTACATCACTTTATTGAAAGGAACAGTTAATGATTAATTATTTGATCAATCTTTCATGTCTATATTTGCTTTCCTGAGAAACCACTTTGAAGTTATCAATATATAATATAGCAACCAATGTTAATTTCCTGTCACCTTGTCCGTAATTCAGTATTACTTGTATTGTTCTTGTGCTATTTTGTAAATGGATGTTTGTTTGTTAATGTTTTCATTCTTTGATGTTTTTAAATAAAATTTTTTAAAACAAAAAAAAGAAAAAAAAAAGAGTATCAAAATCAGGAAAACTTATTCTGTAGAATGGGTGAGGTTGCAAGAAGATGCTAATAATTACTGTTTAACCATTAACACAATGTTCCACATGCAATTCAAGAATTTAACTCATTAAGCAATAAAGAATGCTTCTAGCCTTACAGCTATACCATGTATTTTATAAAACTATAAATTTTCATTTTAGGAATTAAATATAGTCAATCCTCATTATTCACAGATTCCATAATTAAGAATTTACCTAATTTAAAATTTTTGTAAAAAATTTATTTTGTAAAAAATAAATATAATTTATTTGTAACCCCCCAAATCAATACTTGTAGCAATTTTATGGTCATTAGAAACTGTGTAGAGCAATAAAAAAAACTGCGTAGCGTGAATAAACACCCAAAGCTACAATCAAAAGAGCCCTGCCTCACTGTTCAGTTCTCACAGTGTAAGAGTTCTTCTGTAGTCTAGTTAGTATCGCGTTTTCACCTTTTTGTCCTTTCAGTAATTTCAGTGTTTAAAATGGCTCCCAACCATAGTAATGAGGTGCTGTTTAGTGCTCCTAAGCATAAGAAGGCCGTGATGAACTTTACAAAGAAAAATGGGTGCTAGGTAAGCTTTGTTCAGGCATGAAGTATGATGCTGTCAGTATTAGTTTAGTGTTGAAATGTGGGTGTGGGTGTGTGTGCGTGTTTCTTTAAACACATAAAACAAGGTTGTATACTGACCAGTTAATGAAAATTTTGTGACCAGTCTGGGGACCCTACCCTTGTATTTCCCCTAGGAGCAATGCTTCAGTACACGGTTCAGTATATGAGGTAACTTTATAAATCAGCACTGTGCAGAACAAGTTAAGGATACTACGTTAGCAAAGAAAAAGTCAAACGAGTTTTAGACCTCTGAAATGTTTCTTCTCATGCACAAATTTTTGAAAAGTATAAACATTCAAGACTCTCAGCTACGTTAACACAGTGCAATTTTCCTTCCAAAGGTCAAAGACCATATAAACTCATGTCCGACACAAACGTTTTCCTTACGTTGATAGCTAATGCACACAGCTGATACTGCTCTAATGTGATGATCTCGTGGTAACAGGGTTCTTGCGCCAGCTTCACAATAGCACTCCCAGCAGCAAGCCTCAGGCGTGACATATCTGGTTTACTGAAAAATAAGCAAGAAAGACTACAGATTAGACTTCTGTTTCATATAAAACCATTACTACTTTGTACATGTAATTCTGAGAGATTCTTGGGGAGCAGAGGTAGGAAATACTATGGCCTTTATATTTTGCAGGGAGGGGTCCTCCTCTCAAATGCCAAGTTGATGGAATTAGGAGTAAAGTTTTGGGTTGTTTGTTTTTGGTTTTATTAATAAAGGAAACTCTCCTTCCTACATGGAAATTTAAAGTATAAAAACACAAAAAAAAATCAATCTCATTACAGGCAGAGACAGGAATCCCCTTCTAATTTCTGCTCCTCCAACATCTGCTTTGTTTTCACTAGAATTATTCTTACTCACACGCTAGGCAGCCCCTAGATGTTTCTGAATGTTACGTGGATTCCCTAGAATACATCTTACATAACAACCCACACTAGGGAGCACTTCAATTATCTTATGCAGTTTTAATATACATGATATATAAACTCTACAAGCAGTTACTATAGTTAACCTTATCTTGCATAAGTGAGGAATCTGACATGTGGAAGTGAAATAGTTTGCTAATAAATTAAAAGAGGTGATAAATTATAGAACATGAATTTGAACCCGTGTATGTTTGTTTGTTTTTTGTCTTTTTGAGACAGGGTCTGATGTTTTATATTCTGCTTAATGTGTTGAGAAAAGAGCAGAGTTGATGGAAGGTAACCTACTGAATGTATTTCTAAAATGCAGTTTTTAAAATGTGCTTGATATAAATCATTTAAAGTGCACTCCTCTTCTTATTTTATTTATTTTGTTTTGTTTGAAAGATACAGTGCAATAGAGTGGGCCTTCCATAGCTGTGTGTTCCACATTTGTGGATTCCAGCATCTGTGGATTGCAAATGTGTGGAAAAGAAAAGTTTTATTTGTATTGAAACCGTACAGACCGTGCCCTTTGTCATTTCCTAAATAATCCCATGTAACGATATTTACACTGTATACTAAATATTACAAATAATCTAGAGATACTTTAAAATGCGTTTTAAAGTATCTCTAGATTATTTGTAATACTTAGTATACATATGCAGTTCAGGCTGGCCTCAAACTCCCAATGATCTTCCTGTCTCAGCCTCCCAAGTGCTGAGATTACAGGTGTACACCACCACGCCCAGCCTGAACCTTTGTAGTATGCCAGTGTTTTTAACCACTGAAATATATTGCCTCTCTAGCAGAAGTCTATTTTCCAGTCATCATCAGTGCCTCTAGTTATTATTACTAGGTAATATATATTATCAATTACATTTTATTATTTAAGTATAACTGCTAGATAAGACAGGTATAATTAATATCTCTGTCTTATACATTGGAAAATTGAGGTATTGACCAGTTCAAGTAACTTGCTAAAGATTACCAGTAAGTAGTGGAGCCAGGATTTGAATGAGAGCTCTAGAATGACTATATCTGAACTATACATTTGTTGCTTGGTATTCAGAGGGAACTGGTTCCAAGACGCACTTTCCAATACCAAAATCCGAAGATTCTCAAGACCCTTATATAGAAGTGTTTATGTAAATCTATACATATACATCCTCCCATGCATTTTAAAGTATCTCTAGATTACTTGTAATACTTAGTATACAACGTAAATATTGTTACATGAGATTATTTAGGAAACGACAAAGGGCACGGTCTGTACAGTTTCAATACAAATAAAAGTTTTCTTTTCCACACATTTGCAATCCACAGATGCTGGAATCCATAAATGTGGAACACACAGCTATGGAAGGCCCACTCTACTGCACTGTATCTTTCAAACAAAACAAAATAAATAAAATAAGAAGAGGAGTGCACTTTAAATGATTCATATCAAGCACATTTTAAAAACTGCATTTTAGAAATACATTCAGTAAGTCACCTTCCATCAACTCTGCTCTTTTCTCAACACATTAACCAGAATATAAAACATCAGTCACGGATTTATACACTGATGCTTACACATTAGACAGCCCAAAAAGCACTCATCTATTATTTAAAATACTCACAATGTACTTCAGTAACTGCACCAGACAAGTGACTATCATTGTGAAATAATCACTACACAACACGCATTTCAGTAAAAATATGTGTACCTAATGAAATAACACTAATTCTTTTTAAAAAGAAACTACAAAAGTTAAAGGTTACCTCAGGAGTTGAAATATTATGCAATTAAATAAAATGTGAAATAACTGCATACCTAATTTTCCCCTGTTCTGTCAAGTCTCCATCACTATGCAATATTGTCGTCAGCAATCTTAAAGTAGAAGTTCCTGATTTACTGTGATTATTTTTCATTCCAAGTAGCCACCGAACCATCATTTTAATAGCCTGAATCTAATGAAAAAAACAAATTAACAAGTAAAATATACTACATTTTAAAAAAACCATCTATTACCAATTTTTAAAACAAAAAAATCAAAAACCATTTTGATGGATGTTTTTTAAGAAAAAATAAGAGAGAAAGAGAGAGAAATTTAAATGGTTTAAATTGAAGATGTTTCACCCCTCCAGAAAAGTGGAAAAAAACTGCTATTAGAGACCAATGCTGAGAAAATCGGTTTATTATCAAATCAGGAAATAGCAGGATTCATTGATGTTAAAAAGGAAGGACTGCTCCACAGGTGTGCAGAAATACATCAGAATCTGAAGCTAGAATAATGTAAAAGAAAAAAATATGGAACACACACACTCACACATACACACACACACACCCCACAGAAGGTATACAAGAAATTACAACTAAAACAATAACAGCATTTAACATATTTGTTCCTGAGTTTCACACCTTGGCAGTGGATTAAAATGAGGTCTACATTACAGATCGTACATAGTTTTTTTTAATAAATCAATACTATCTACACCAGTGATAAATGTATCTTTTATGTAAAACCCTCACCTCAGTTAAAAACTAATTTTTATAAAAAATAAAAAGTTTTACTGAATGCTATGGAATAGTCACATAGTCTTAAAACATGGATCACCAACTTTACTAAATAGGAAAATGTCCAAAAGATAACAGTATCTCATTTTACCATTACAAAGCTGAAAGTAGTAAAAGAAGTAAAACATGGAAGCAGCTTTTTTCCTCTTCAAATTAGGTTTTACCCTGCTGCCCACATGGCTCCAAGTAGTTCATTACTGCCCTATACTCTCACAGTCCAAAATAATGTCAAAGAGTAACTACAAACACTTGATTTGAACAGTTGTGTCTTTGTGACAAAAGCAGAAATTTCAACATTTTCAATAATTCTACGATATAGTGAGCACACGAAAATCAACAGGCCTACACATATTACTTACTTTGACCATGGTCTCAGGAGAAACTTCTTCATCTGGAACCCAAAGTTTAGTTGTTTTTTTTCCTGGAAGCTAAGCAGAAAGTATGGACTTTAAAATATGAGTACAAATTCCCACATTGAAATAACAGTGAAGAAATAGTCTTTACAATTTGGACAGTCACCATATGCACCTAAAATACTCTGCCTAATTCTAACTCACTAAAAAGGTTGACAGACATGGCCTCACTAGCACCCAGGTACAGTATTACAGGCTCAACAGGAACTGAACTATCATCTACAACTGATCCTCACATCCCAGGAAAAAAATTCCCAAACACAGAGCTGAAGATTTACACACAGCTTACAGCTCACTTCTTCGGTTGACTCACCCTCGAAGTACAATTCATATCTCACTGCCAACCAGTTTGAACCCCCTGTGGTTCATGTATGACTGTCCCATCAAATGGCTTTTTATTAATTTTATTAGTAAAAAGGCCTATAAAAGTGATTAAATCTGTTTGTACCACCAGTTGTACAGGCTGCCCAATGGGACAATTGTGCATATACTGCCAGTGGTTCAAGCTTGCAGGAACATGTTAAAAACACCACGAAAGACTTGACTGTCTCTCTTTCAAGAAAAAGTTGAGATGAAAAGGGCTAAGTATATGAAATACAAGTATGTAGAAACAAAATATGTAAGAATTAGAAAATCAAGACTGATACTTTTCATAAATGAAATAATTAAAAAATAGAAAAGTCTAGCAAGGTGTAAAATTAAGGCTCCAAAATGATTCCCCAAGCCAACCATAAATATAATTTACAACATTACTTAGTACCTAGCATAAACTGTGTTACAGAAATTTTTAAATCTTTAGGAGGGTGTGGTGACTCATGCCTTTAATTCCAGCACTCAGGAGGCTGAGACAGGA